CTTCTCTATCTTCATCTTTCCAGCAGGGATTTTACAATACAATCTTGAATCTATCATGTGGAGAAGGTAAAAACTGAGGGCCCAGGGGTAAGAGAGAGGGGATAAAGTAGAGACTGAAGGAGAATGCATGTTTTCTTCTTTCTAGCATCTCAGATTTTGTTTACTCCTCTGCAAAATCCCCCAAGAAGAATAAGCAGAGACAACGCTGAGTTGGAGTTAGTGAGTTGGAGTTAGTTAGTTAGTTGGAGGCTTAGTGAGTGATCTAGTTCATTGGAAATGCCTCAGACACCTTGTCCGGGGCTGTGCATGAACAGCACAGGTCTCCCATGCAAGATATGCCAGAGTTGGGGCAGGCACCGCAGCCATTTCTGTAGAGAGCAAACCAAATCTATAATAATGCAATGTGTGAATATTTCTGCTGTTACTCCTGGAAACCTAGAGTATGGGCAAAACTCTGAAGTTCTTACACAGGCAGAGCTCTCAGTGACTGGTGTGGGAGATTTGTCTCGGTAAAGAATTCAGAAATTGGCATGATTGTTGTGTAATGATTTTGCTAAAAGCAAAGGCATTTATGGTATCTTATAACTGACATGGCAATACATCTCACTCACAACTTTTCTCTTCAAAAAATGTTAATTAAAAAGCTTCAAATGGATGTGAATGATTAAAAACATTAATGTAACCTGTAAAAGTTCTTTTTATACATACTAATGTGCTAACAATTTACTTAAGTTCCTCAAGTGAGATTTGCAGTGGCTCTAGATCCTTTGACAAAGCTAGGCTGAGTATTTATGCCTATTTAGCAACAGAGCAGACAGGTCAATTCTTATGCAAGATAGCAGCAGGGACTTGTGAGTGGTGCTTCTCCCATCGTTGCATTTTGCAGAGTAGTTTTACTTAGAGCCTTAGCCTGTGATCCATTTCATGTCCCCATACCCCAGTGAGCTCATATGGTGTATGTCTGATTTACCAGCAGCAAAGCAGGCGCTATATCTTTAAGGATCTCAGGTGTGTCCGTATACATTAAAATTGTAACCTACAATTAAAACTTATACTGAACAGTTTTATATCTCGGAATATTAAGAGCGCAAAATTGTTGGTCGTATATAGTGTGCTTGCCTGTTTGTCTCTCTTGGGATGTGAGGGCAGTTGCAGAAGTGGAGCAAGGAATCTGGATCTGGTGGAAAAGGGGGAGGTCAGGTGTTAAAAATGAAATTGTAGCAGTTATACTGCCAAGGCAGTAGCATAGTCAGGCAGTGCAGTATAGTCAAGCTTGGGCAATATTCTCTCCCTGTATAGAAGTATAATGTGGAGAATGTTAACTTTGTAAACAGGAAAAAAATAGAGTCATTCTCTTCCAGCCCAAATTCTAGTTCAGAACTAGACACAGATTGAAACATGGCGGACAATTGACAACTTCATTCTCATCGTGACTTCACTGCATGTCCCATAGATTGCTTGCAGGGCTTGTTTCTCATCTTCCAGTGAAGGAAAAGCTACTTTCTACTTAAATGTTTCAGGTGAAAGCTTGGGTCAGTGCACTGTTGAGTGTTAATTCACTAATGTAATCGATTTACCTAGATTATGTAAGACCCAGGGATATTAAACAGGCGCCATCTCTTGACATGTGAAGTCCCAGCACCACTGCTTGCCAGAAGTGCCGATATATCAAATGAGGGACTGCTCTGCACTTGCTCTCTTTCTTACACTCTTTCACAAGCAGCTTCTTTTGGCCACAGACTTCTGATCTGGTCCAATATGACCAATCATATATTCTCAGTTAGGAATTATATTTGTGTTTAAACTTTTGTTTTGGCATCTGCAGGGAGCAGATTTCACTGTGTTTGGTCCGTTAAAGCATGATGCTGAGGAAGGGAGCTGAGGTTTGTGCTGCTTCTCCAGTGGGTACACAAGGCAGCGACAACAGCTGTTAAAGTAGCTCCCTGCTGACATTTATCTTCTGCTGAGGTGCTTTAATAAGACATTAAAGGTGAGGTGGTAGCAATCAAAAGGTGATTTGATTTTAAATCTTACTACATCTGGACTGTTCTTCCCCTCACACCTGTAAAATAAGATACCAACAGAGGACAATATTCAACATGCAGCTTTGTAAGGGGTGGAAAGCATGTCTGTTCCCAGGGGAGCTGGCAGGAGTGAAGCAGGGAGGGCATTAATGATACGTGATGACATGTTGGTTCAGTTCTCCTGTGATTTTTCCAGAAGTGTGAGTTTGAATCTCACCTGGTCTATTGCCCTGCCACTTCTCTTCTGCTGAAAAGGGAGCACGATGTCATTTAAACTGGTGATTTACAGGCAGCCAGCTATGATGCTAAAAACCTCCGTCTGTGGTATAGGAATTGTCATGGCTGATGGGACACAAGGACCTTTTATCTTGACTTTGTTCGGCCCCTTCTAAAAGGCAGCAAAGCCTGTTACATTGATTTGTGGAAGATATTGTAAAGCTAAAACCCAAATGTGGCCATCTGACATGTGCAAGATAAGAAGTTTTTAAGTTCAGTGTGCTTTCAAATTTGCCAGAAATATGGCAGAACTATTTCTGTGGGTTTCTGTGTATTACAGTTTGAATCCCCTATGTTCTAAGACAGACCCATGAAAACAAACACTTGATTTACTCACAGTGAAATTATTGAAAGTTGTGCTTATAGGTAATTATCTGCAACGTTGGGTGTCATAGTCATAAGGCTCTTACAGAAGAGGAGAACCACCTTAAACCACTTGCTAATTCTGTTTCTAAGTTTTTCCATTTCAGATGGTATTTTTCTTAATGTTTTTCTTTAGTGCTGAGATTTACATTCTTCTTACAAAAATGCATTTTGCCTTCAGTTGTGGAACCTACTTGAGTTCCTGGGGAAGCCAAGGAGTGAAATGCAGGCAGAGCTGGGACTTGATCCCTGTGAGTCTTAGTGTGATATCATCTTCTGCACATTTTTTTATTATTGCAGTTCATAACACTGCACCGTAAGATGAAAAACAGTAAAAGCCTCTTTATTTATAAGGTTATTACAGGTATCCTCCAGTGTATCTCATGTGTATACATCCTGTCAAAATATTTCAAGAATTTGACAACAGTGCCTGAACTTGTTTCAAGTGACATGACATGGCTTTTCACTGTATTTTTTTACCTTTTTTTTTTAAGAATAGTTAATAAAAGTGTTACCTATGCACGCAAAAAAATATAGAATCCCTTTGTGAACAAACAGGTTTAAATAAGCATCAGTTGAGTTTTGCAGTTAAATAACCTGTAGAGGAAATTGTTATGATGTTCTCTATAATTGCTCTGGAAAAAAAAAAAAAGTCTTGAAGTCTATGGAAAGCATAACAGACCTAATTAATGCCCACACTGCTTCTCCAGAGAAACCGATTTTGCGTTATGTAAATGTGCTGCATAGAAAATGTTCTTGTATGTATTTCATAGTTAGTCCTTAGTTTTCCTTTGTATAGCTGTAGTGTATGGTATTTTACAAAGTAAAGTGTAAAGTTTTCTTTAAAATTGCGACTTGTATTATCATTTCTGAAATGTAAAAAACAATTATATATTTCCTGGATTTTTTAAAGTGCTGATATCAGTTATGATTTATGAGTTATATTTTCATGTCCAAGGAGGGTGTATGTGTTTGTGCACATTCACATATTTATGTTCTGAAATAGATGACTTTCATTCTTGTGTTCATAATGTGTGTACATAAATGTAGGTGTTATAAGGAGCATTCCTGTTTTTAGTTTTTAGAATAAAAGCTGTATCAGAAGCTGAAAACACTGACACATCTGGAGTTTCAGAGCGTTTCTAGGGACTGACAATGCATGATACTCACCGAACCCTCCACCCAGTTACTGGTGGATGCTTAGAGGTTACCTAATGAGCAA